AAAGAGAAAGAATAAAGAGAAAATTTTTTCTCAGGTGATTTCAAGTAAATTAGATATCAATGGGTGAATTTTAATGCTCAATCGAATCAAGAATTCACATTTTATATACATTAAAAATTTATTTTACAAAATTCCCTTTGATAATTTCAATTTTCATTATTATAGAAACAAATAAAAACAATTTTTATCAATTCTTGTGCCAGAATATAATATTGCTTTGCAAAACAGTTGTTTTTCGAGTATTACAATTTAAGTCCGACAAAAAAGTTTCCATGTAGAAAAATTATGGGATTGGTCAGACAATAATTCTGAAAAAAGATATCTAAACAATTCCATTAATTTATTGTATCCGGGGAATAATATTGACTTTACAGAAAAGATTATTTTTCAATTAATATTTGTAATAAAAAGGTTATTTTGGTTTCAAATGTTCATATCTATTACTTCCGATTAGTTTTTTTTAGTTGTAGTCATTTTTTTAAGTCAGACATTGACCTGTTACAGTAGAAAATTTCACCATTGATTTTGAAGAAAATTAGTTACATTTTCAATGAAAATTACTGATTCGCAGTAAAGTTTTACTGATGTTCAGTGAAATGCAATTAATTTGCAGTTTATTGTTCACTAATTTCCACTTCATTTTTCATTGATTAACATTTAAAGCTTAATTACATTAAAGTCAATTTTAATTTAAGTTTATTTAAAGTTTTTTTTCTAAAATTAAAATTTATAAACGGAAGAAAATAAAATAAAATTTAAATCTTTAATAATTTTTAATATAAATTATTACAAATTAATATTAAATTATAATTAATAGTTTTAATGTCATTTTAAAAATTAATGTTCTTATTTTTACCCTTTAATAGATGTTCTTCTATATAAAATATACTTTTTAATGAAAGGTTTGACTTTTAAAATAAATTTACATAGCATTTTAAGGAGATAAATAAGATCGAGCTCATTTTAAAAGGCAAAAAGAATATCTTGACTAAATTTTTGCACACACACAAACACACACACACACATTTGAACTTTATACTTCCTTGATAATATTCATTAGTTATTAAAGCTCATCTTTTAAATAAGATGTGGGTGTACTTCAAGTTCAGATTTACCAAGAAAAGGCCATTAGAAAAGTAATGAAAGTAAATAATTGTTAAAAAATATGTCAATGCTTTTATTATTATTTGAAATGTTTGTCCTACGTCAGGCACAAACACTTTTAAAGCAGTAATAACAGCAATAGTTATATAAAAAGTGGAAAAATGGAATTTTTTTAAATTTCAGAGAAATCAAAATTTTTCAAAATATCAAATTTTTATTAAATAAAAAAAAATTAAACAAATTTTCCACTGAAGAAAATGTATTTAATTTAAATAATCGGTAACATGATTATTATTAATATAAATATTTTCTTGAACCAAATAATTTTTATTTGAGTCAATTAAATTTTATTTGTTTCAAATATACTAGAACTAGTATAAAGTATAGTCTATACCATCTATTACATTTTATCTATACACCTTCCCTAAACGGTAGAAATATTTACTTTAATTGAAAACTAGCAATGCCAAAAATCCTCAAATAACAATTTTCTAGAAATTCCAAAACTAATTAAATTTTTTTCGTCGTGGTATTAGATCCGCCATTTTAAATTATTAAAATCTAACATTATATTCATAATCAGCGATCCCAAAAACCCCTTTGAAAACGGTTTTAAACTAATCCCATGAATTTTTAAATTTTGCGACGTCATATTAAATCCGCTATTTTGGATTTTTAAAAGCGGACATATCATATTCGTAATTAGCAGCCCAAAAACTTTAAAAATGATATATGATGAGGAATTATTATTACGATAGTTAATTTGCACCTTAAAGGGTTAAATAAATTTTTCAATTTTAATATAAAAATTTTATTTTTTATTTCTTTAATTAGTTAATCATACGTTAATATGAAACTTAAAATGAAAATTTTTAGATTAACGTTCAATAAAATTCTAGAAAACAATAGACCCTTTTTAATGACGGTCGACACCCAAAAACTTAGGTATTGCGGAACAATCACAAGAGGGGAAGCCGAAGTCTCTCTCTCTCATTACTCAGGTAGCGATAAATATGATTGCCTAACTTACTCTATTTCAAGCAAAACAACATAAGATTCACTCTGTCATCTAACGCAAAAATTTAACGCTTTTCTTTCTTTATCTATTACAAAGAAATAAGATAACAATATCTTTGTTTGAAATCTGTTTTCCTCTTCTGTCTAAGGAAAATAGCATAAGACCCTTTTTTTCTAAAAATTTAACGCGATCATTTTCTCTCTTCTGTCCATGAAAAATAACATAAGAATGTCTTGCTCTTGCCTAATTTGCATATCTACTCGTTTCATAGTAAGGAGATAAAAATTATTGAAATCGAATAACTGTTGCAAAATAATTTTAATCTTTTTTTGATACAATTACTAATAAAGATGCATATTTAAACAATTATTAATTTAATTATTTGAGATCAATTTTTTTCCTTCGCCGTAATTGAAACATTTTTAAGATTTTCATTGGCTTTAATTACAGTGGGCAAAGTATCTTGAAAATACACGTAATTTTGGTCACCGTAATTGTAAAAATTTAATAACATAACTAAAATTGAATAATTTTTTTAACACTATTTTTCCTCTAAAACATATTTTTTTAAAAACAATTATTGAAATGTAGTTGAAAAAAAATTATTTAAAAATTGTTCATCATTTAAGGGGACTTTCTGGTTTAGAATTGACAAAAAAGGAAGGTTGTAAAACTTTTATTGTAAGAACAGTATTAAAGAAATTGTAAAAACTATTTTTGGACATTGTAGCACATTGCGTAGAGAAAATTTAAAAAATATGTTTGAGTGTATTTAGTTCAATTTCATAGATGTAGGTGGCGTCTTCCAAAAGATACCTTTTTTTTGGTACGTTAGTTTCCGGGCAACCTGTAATACATAAATTCAAGTTCTAAACGGGAATCTCTTCATAAGGATTTATTCTGGGGCCTAAACCTCAAAAACGATTTTTTTAAAAGGTTTTTTTATTTTTTATGTACATTTTTCTCAAAAACTCGCAAAAACGCCGTGTTTTTGGGTCAATTTACCTCCATATAAAAACACAGGGGGTAGAAATATGAGTTTTTAGAGGTTTAGGCCCCAGTTTTTTTAAATAAAGAATCGAAAAATTTTTGGGATTTCAAAATCGGTTCGGTAGATTTCGAGAAAAGCTCTGTACCAGTTTGAAAAATGAGTTTTCGAGAAAAACGCGTTCAAAGTTTTCATAACATAGTTCATTGAGTCATGAATATCAAACAACTTTTTATTACAACAGAACTTCGTATCCCGCTGTTTTAGGGTCGCTGATTGCGAATTTGATGTCTGTTTTGGAAAATTCAAAATGGCGGATCCAATATGGCGGACGAAAAAATAAAAATTCAACCGGATTTGCTTAAAACTTGCTACTCGGGGGTTTTTGGGGTCGCTGATTACGAATTTGATGTCCGTTTTTGAAAATTCAAAATGGCGGATCCAATATGGCGGACGAAAAAATAAAAAATCAACCGAATTTGCTTAAAACTTGTTACTCGGGGGTTTTTGGGGTCGCTGATTACGAATTTAATGTCATTTTTTGAAAATACAAAATGGCGGATCTAATATGGCGGACAAAAAAAATAAAAATTGAACCGAATTTGCTTAAAACTTATTACTCGGGGGTTTTTGGGGTCGCTGATTATGAATTTGATGTCAGTTTTTGAAAATTCAAAATGGCGGATCCAATATGGCGGACTACAAAATAAAAAATTAACTTTTTTAATTAATTAAAACGTTCCTAGAACGTTAATGTTTTGTGCCTATATTTATAACTAGCAATCTCAAAAGGCCACAAGTAACCATTTTCAACTAAATTTAATTAATTTCTTAATCTTTGTCCGCCATATTGGATCCGCCATTTTGTATTTTCAAAAACTGACATCAAATTCGTAATCAGCGACCCCAAAAACCCCCGAGTAACAAGTTTTAAGCAAATCCGGTTGAATTTTTATTTTTTCGTCCGCCATATTGGATCCGCCATTTTGTATTTTCAAAAACTGACATCAAATTCGTAATCAGCGACCCCAAAAACCCTCGAGTAACATGTTTCAAGCTAATATCAATAAAAGAGCAACACTAAATATGTAAATAAGATAACTGTAGATTGTTGTTGAAATACATACCGTCATAAATATTGTTATAACTTTTGTTTTTGTACATATTTTTTAAAAAACGTTTTGGGACAGTAATTCTATGATACTATGGAACATTTTTAAGCAAAAAAAAAAAAATCGATTTTTTTGAAATTCTAAACCAGAAAGTCCACTTAAATTCACGCGAGTTGAATATGTAAAGAGCGGTATTTTCAAAAAAAATAGAAAAAATAAATCACTCATAAATTGTATCTATATTTTTTTTGAATTACTTTTAACCTGAGATCTTGAAAAAATATATAGAGAGAGATCTTATACCAAGAAGTTACATTAGACAAAAACAAAAAATAGTTCAAGACACACACTCTCTCTCTCTCTCTCTCTGTCCCTGTTAGTCAGAATTAAAGTTTGAATCAAAGTTAAAGTTTAAATTAGAGTTACAGTTAAAGTTAGGGGTCAGAGAGATAAAGTTACGTGGAGAGTTTCAAGTTGAATTGAGAGAACATATAGTGTGGGGGACAAGGAAAGGACCTCAATCTCGTGAAAATGGGATTTCACTTTACAAGTACTGTCAAAATAGGAATCGAAATTTGGTAGGCCACAATCGTGGAGAACGTCTAACCGCGTAGTAGATATTGCGACGCGAGCGCCACCATTGTCAGTAAATCGATGCGAAAGGCCTTTCTCTCTCTCTCTCTCTCTCTCTCTCTGATTCGTTCCATCGTCCTGTGTATCCACCATCCCTGAATCCACCCTCAACTCCCTCCCTATTTTAGCTACCCTCTCTCTGGTTAAGTTAAGCTCGCATTTTAACTCGGCTCTGCGGTTCAGCAGAGTTCAGTCCGACACTCGAGCGTCGTGCACACGTGCCATCGATAGACACAGATTACTCTCTCTCTATCTACAAACTCAACGTGTGCAAGCCACAAAAATTTCGCGGTAGCAGTTTCTTCACAATCAATGTTCCCGCTCTTGAAGGCCTACACATCCCTTAAGGTAGTGCTTTCGTAATTTTTTAACAAATTTTTTTTTCACCCACCCTCCTCCCACTTCACGCACTTCCGTCTTATTAAATTAAAAAAAAAAAATTCTCCGTGATTTTTAATTGAGAGTTCGTCGAAAATTATAGTGTAATTGCAAATGGATAAATTTCAAAAAAAATTTGGTAAAGACCACAAAAAAAAAAATTTATCAATTATTTATTTGATATTTATCATTGTCGTTAATATAAAATGGAAAACAAATCAATTTTCATTTAAGTGAAAACATCGTGAATGTGATTTTATCGTTATACACTTTGTTTTCAGTTTGATTAGATTCAATGTTTTATATATAGTAATACATATAAAGCACGTGTGTTGCAATTACAGTTTATTGGTTAATTAATGAAAATTAATTTCAAAGTCTACACGATAAACACAGAAGAATAAATTAATCAGTAATTGTATATAGTTCAATTGTTAAATAACATAAGAATTGATTAAATAATAAATTAATTATAATTAAATCCTAAGTTTGCAAAAATTTATAATTCAATTAAAACAAAAAAAGAGAAAATAAAGAAATGTATATAAAATTGAACATCAAACATACAATTAGTAAAATAACTTATTAAATAAATAGCTAATTAATTATTAATATAAATTTTTTTTTTCATTTAATTCAAATGATTATTATAAAGGAAATTAATTTTATATAAATAGATATTATATTATAAATATCAAAAATTATTCGTGTTTTAAAATTATATTCACTTTGTACGATTATTTATAGCTTTCCCCATTCATAATCAGAAGATAATTATAATTTTTGAAAACTTTATTCTTTTTAGAATTATATTCAATTTAAATTAATTATAACGTTAAATTAAATTCATATCAAATAAATAAACCCGTAATAATATATAAGAATAAAAATTATCACTCGATTGAAAGCAAAATTATAAATGAAAAACAGTTTTAAAATAAATACACGTGTATTTAAATAATTTAACTTAAACGATAATAATTCAATGAACAAACTAACTTTTCAATAAAATTACAATGAATCTAACTTCAAAGTAGATTTTCAATTATTGATGCAGTGACCCAGTTTTTCTCTCTTATTTTTTATAATGAATTGCATATAAATTTGACAAATTCAATTTGTGAAAAAAATTTTTTACAAAGAGAATATGGCCTTTTTTGACATTCTTTTTTGTGTCTCGTTTTATAGTACTTGTTGTAACTACATGGCCTAACGTATATTTTCATTGACCGTGGCTTCGAACACACGCGCTCAGTTCTATGAATGAAAAGGTGCAGTGTCTCTTCACTGACATCGACCTCAAATAAGAAATTCAATAGAGAAAAGAAATTTCACGTTTTTAATTTTTTTACCAAATAAAATTTTTGCGTTATTCTAATTTATTGAGTGTATCGAAATTTGACTACGTAAATTAATTTTATTAATGCATTTTAAAATGCAAAATATCGAGTTGTTTATATTTATTAAGAAATTAAGAAAAATATTTTTTCACAATAACTTAAAGAAAGTTTTTTGGTGAATAAAAATATTGTTTTAAATTCAATATTGTGTCTTCAAAAAAAGTTTTCAGAGAAGAAAAATTGTTGAATAATTACAGAAATTTAATGTCAAACAAAAAATTTTTCATTCAATCAATACAAAATTTGCAAACAATTTTTTTAGTTAAATTTTATATTCTCAAAAACTGTTTTCAAGTAGAGCAGAAAAATTGTGGAATTACAGAAATTTAATGTTAAATAAAAAATATTTTGTGTCATTAAAAATTTTTTATTTAATCAAAAAAATTGCAAATTTAAATAAATAAGAAACAATAAAATATTCTTAAAAAAAATTGTAAGTTTAAGTATTATGTTGAGTATTACGGAGAAAAAAGAATTTTTGTAGTTACTAAAAATAAGGTCCACACAACATTTCCGGATTGTCAATATAAAACCAGCAGTTCTATTTGTTGTTGGGACAAAAGAAATTTTTAAAATAGGATTTTTCGGTGAACAAACAGAATTGTTTGATATAAACAAAGAAAATTGTTATGGAACAGTTGAAATAACAAAACTAAATTGTTAAATCGGCAATACATTTGTTGTATTAACAAAGCTTTGATCCATCTAATACAATTAGTTCAGTTTCGTCGCCTTCTAAAATAATCGGTAGCAGATTTCCGTAGGTCATATCACCAGTTTCATTTGCATTAAAATCTGTGGAACATGCAGCTTCTGAATCAAATTCTTTGACCTGAAACCAAAGAATGATTTTGAGTTGAAATTTGTAGTTAAATAATATTAAAATGTACATTTTGTAATTTTTAAGATGCGAGGTTATGTTCAATAGTAACCGAGTATAACTTACCGATAAACGATGAAATTGTCTCTTCATATCCATTCACTACACTTGCAATAGATTTCTCACTTTAACCGGATTCATTATTTAACAGCACTTTGTCATTTTAAAAAAATTAATAATAAAAGCAAAAGTGGCACATGTGCCAGAAGCAAACGACGCGACGATCTGCATGCCATTTTGTGAGAATTAAAGATGACTACATGACATGTAACAATAAACCTGTCAATTGAACAAATCTAGATTGTTCCATCAGCAATCAACAGAGAGTTTGCTTCTGAAACTGTACGGAATTGCAAACTGAACAAAACTGACAACAAAAAATTCGTATTGTTGTTAAAACAACATACATTTGTACTGACAACAATTCGAATTGTAATATCAACAAATCTACTGACAACAATCCAAAAATTGTTTGCACAACAATCCCATTTTTCTCCGTAATATATTTATAATATATCAAAGTTATTGATTTGTTTCTTTTTTTTTAATTGAGATTTAAAAAAAAGAAAAAAGTGGATTTTTACCGCAGGTGTTGAGAAAATTGTTCTTTGCGATAGTTTGGTTCATTTAAGAAATTTTTCAGTAAAGTGAGAATCGAGTTAAGAGCTCTCGAGGGAAACAATTCTTTAAGATCGGAAACTCGAGTAAACTGCTTTTATTGGTTTGAAAAAGGACATGTAAACATTAGAGACAAACTTTGAGAGTTGAAAAATGATGATCAAGAAATTACAACTGGTGATTGTGTATAAAACAAATTCTCTTCTTTTGACTAATTTTAAAACTGTAGAAATATCTTTTGTGACAATTTTTCTTTATAGATTTTTTTGTCATCTTTTTTATTTGCCCTTAAAAGTTCACTAACTCTTAAACTACGAGTGAATAAAAGGGAAATTGTAATTAATCATCGTTGCTATTACATTTCCTGAACTTAACAGTTCAGAGGGAGCTTGAGAAGTAATTTTTCATTTTACTAGTATCTCTCTCTCTCTCTCTCTCTTCCTCTTGGTTCCTCTCGTCATCACTGTTTCGAACTTTGTATGTGTTCTATATATTCTCCAGTAACCACAAAGTTAGTTAATACTTTACAGTCTGATGATAACCTGATGCAACCTTCCAAAGGCAGAATTCGTTACGACCAGTTGAATTTCCGTGGATTCCTCATGAAAGTTGATAACGAACTACTTAGGTAGGATGAGATACCCAAGTAGTTCTCAAGCAGTGGAGATTCTCTCGAGTAACATTCTCTGTTTGGCATTTTCGTACTTTCTGTATATAGTTGGAATTTTGTTTTCTATGTAAACACTTGGGATCTTGGCGTTTACCTTTAAAACATTACCTTGGAGAACCCGAAATTTACGTGGAAAAGACGCGCTGAATTGTTAATAAAGACAAACAAAAATTAGGTACTTATATAATTTTGAAAACGGAATATTCGATTAAATCAGAAGTGAGAAAATTTGAATAATTTATTGCAATTCTTGCAAAATTCACGTCGAAATATTGACTATCTCTGATAACAGAGAGAAAAAAAGAGACATATTTAATTTAAAGAAAGAAAATAATTCTTCTAATTTAAGGTGGTTAGGTCCAAGAGGCTAGTCAATGCAAATATTTTTTTTTCTAAAAATTTAAATAAGATATAAATTTTATTATGTAAAATCAAAAATCATATTTTTAACTAATATTATTTATGTTGGAACGTAATTAATAAAGATTTTAATAAAAAACAGTAATATTTTTGACAAACATAGTGTTTGGCAGATACAGGGGTACCAATATAAACATGAAAAGCTGATGCAAGCCTATGCGATCTTAATATGTAAAAGTTATTTTTATGAAAGGAAATTTAATGAATTTATTTAAAAATAATTAAATATATTATAAACAATAATTTATTTTATTTATTTTTTTTTAAATTGTCAAACAATGTGTTTATAAATACTTGTCTTTATTTGAATTTTCGCGCTATTCTGTATTCTCCCCCACGTACCTACTTTGTGTCACTCATGGCAATGAAAAATTTACAAGAAACTTTAAGTTTTGGATAAATAGTACTCTGGAACTAAACGGTAAATTTCACTCTCTTTGAAGTATTTTGTTCCTTGAACATTGAATTAATTGTGCTTTCATTTTTGAGATGAATCCTTATTGTACATCAAAAGCTACAAAGTGAGATGAGGCATTTCATATGAGAATACGGGGTCATGTCTCAGATTTTTCTCAAAATTCGGTAAATTGTAGTGATAGTGGTGCTAAATAAGTGTAAAAATTTAAAATTTAAAATTTTTAATATTTAATAATTTTTTTTACGCGGAAGATCTTAAACTTTTTTTGTGTCGTAGGGTGCTGAAACCTCAATTTTCAATTATCATCTGTTAATATTTTAGATATTCAAAATTTGTACACTTATTTAGCACCACTATCACTACAATTTACCGAATTTTGAGAAAAATCTGAGACATGACATCCGATTATTTAAATCGAGTAAATTTTTTTCTATACATTTTGAAAAAAATGGAGAATTATTATAATTTATAATACACAAAACATTTGTAGAGCAGAAATAATAAGTTTTTTATGAGAGAGTATAAAATTGGATTTTTTTTAATGAGAAACAATATTTTTCCGGG